TTTCCCCCCCCCCCCCCACCACCCTCTGTTCCCCCACAGCACGGCTTGTTTGCAAAGGAACCGTCAAGGATTGATGACGCAACTAACAAACATGTCATTTTATTGCCAGGGTTTTATTTTGTGTCTTGAACGGAATGGAAACTAGGCGTGTGACTTAGCTACATCAATGCAGTTACTGGAGTGATGGGCACACACAAAACTTCACGGATATACAGCACGTCTGTTGAACGTAATCTAGGTCTCAGCGAACATCAAATACACCCAAACTTAAAACAGATACATGTGTAGGCTACCTGTTGAAGGAAGTGGAACATGGTCAGTTTCTTAACGTCCCCTCTCTGACGCATTATGATAACATATATCCCCTATAGACCAGCCGCTGTGGATATCCAGCCCTCAAAGATGACCTCACAGTTCTCCAGATAATGTTAATCATCAAAACGGCTAGGCTCCACTATTCCGTAAGCCCGTGTTCAACGTACTGGAAAAGTTAGATAAACGGCGTGGCCATTTCTAACGACAAGAGCGAATGGCCATTATGGCAGCAGGATCTAAGACTGATGACTAAGAGTTGTCTATTAAAAGATGGACAGTTTTATATAACCCAAGCATAATCGGACCTAGTAACCCTAGTCCGGATACATTTACCGACTACGTTAAACAGGCGAGCAAACTGAATTTCCCCACCTTAGGTAGAACGAGATGTTGGCAAACACTGCATAGACCCAGCCGAAGGTCGGACCACAACCTGCACAGTAAGGCTACTGTGAACATTGCTCGGGCATTAATCATTGTTAAATATAGGCATGTCAATGAAACAGCCCGTGCACAGAGATGGCCTCTATGTCAGGGGCGGACATATATTTTATAGATTGCCCTTTTATGTCAGGGGAGGACATACATTTTATAGATTGCCCTTTTATGTCAGGGGAGGATATACATTTTATAGATTGCCCTTTTATGTCAGGGGAGGACATACATTTTATAGATTGCCCTTTTATGTCAGGGGCGGACATACATTTTATAGATTGCCCTTTTATGTCAGGGGCGGACATACATTTTATAGATTGCCCTTTTATGTCAGGGGAGGACATATATTTTATAGATTGCCCTTTTATGTCAGGGGCGGACACATTTTATAGATTCCCGTTTTATGCTTCGTTCAATTAGTTGCACCTGTATTTGTATGTCCAGTGTGCACACCATAATTTCAAATAGAAACCATACACATTTCATAAATGTCATTAGTGCAACTAACACACGTAGGGAGAATAACCCCCTCCAACACACACACAGAGAAAGAAAAAAAAGTGAATCAGGGGTTCTCATTACATGTGTACATATTCTACGACAGTTGTGGGGGGGGGGGGGGATAAGATGGCGCACGAGAGGTTAGGAGAGAGTAGTGGGAACAATAGGTCAGGAATGTATCGGTGGGAACGAGAGATCAGTAATGTGTAGGTGGGGATACAAGGTCAGGAATGTGGTGGGGGGGGGGGAGATAAGATGGCGCCTGAGCCCAAGGAGCAGATGCCGCTGTGTACCAGGGGACAATAAGAGCACCAGAACGTTGTTTACTTGAGTCAACCTGGTCCACACGCCACGCAGGCAATCATGTCAAATGTCATAAGCATGGCTCACGCGATGGTGTCAAAGGTCAGCTATGTCCACAGACAAGTCTGTCTACTATATTATTGTCCACTCAAGTGTGCGTATGTGTGTGTGGGTTGTGTATCCTAGTAGTAAAGAGACGTCTAGAAACATTTTTTTTTCTTAAAAAAACACAAAGAAATTGATTTCTAATTACATCTCTAAACAACTCGGAAATAGACAATGTAAGGGTCTACTGGACATGGAACTGTTGTAGTGGACAATACCTTACGGATAGACAACCGTGGTAGACCGTTGCGTATGACCGGTTTTTGGACTGGGTGTGGACTGTGTCACCAAGAGGTGCCACGCGAAGCAATCAACTTGCTAATTGTATAATCCACGCACGTTATTAACGTATTTTTTCAAGGAACAAGAAATACTCCACGACTGCAATCTCAAGTGTTACGCTGAGAAATTTTGTATTAGTCGCGATAGTCTGGTGCATGGAATGTACAAGTTTGCTATAATCAGTTCATCAACAGATATCCTGCTGAAATGTAAAGACAACGGAGGACAGTTAGGGCAGGCGTGCCATGTCGGATTACTTACCAAGATTGACTGATATCACGTTGCCATGGTTCGCTCATGGGAAACAATATGGGCTTTATCCAGTTATTGCTTCATTCGAGCAAGAAGCTTAGAGGGTGTACATAAAGGGTGCACCGGGCCGACTCAAGGTACAGACAACTCGGGCAGTTGCCCGGGGCGCCATGTGCTAGGGCACTATCAACGAACTACAAAATAGGAAAAATCATTGCATGCGGGCAGTAGGCTCATTGTTCATATTGCTCCCAGTAGGCTAATTGTTCATATTGCTCCCAGTAGGCTAATTGTTCATACTGCTCCCAGTAGGCTAATTGTTCATACTGCTCCCAGTAGGCTAATTGTTCATATTGCTCCAAGTAGGCTAATTGTTCATACTGCTCCCAGGAGGCTAATTGTTCATACTGCTCCCAGTAGGCTAATTGTTCATACTACCCGCTGTAGGCTAATTGTTCATACTGCTCCCGTTAGGCTAATTATTCATACTACCCGCAGTAGGCTAATTTTTCATACTGCTCACGGTAGGCTAATTGTTCATACTGCCCGCAGTAGGCTAATTGTTCATACTGCTTCCGTTAGGCTAATTGTTCATACTACCCACAGTATGCTAATTGTTCATACTGCTCACGGTAGGCTAATTATGTTCATACTACCCGCAGTAGGCTAATTTTTCATACTGCTCACGGTAGGCTAACACTAACTGTTCATACTACCCGCAGTAGGCTTATAGTTCGTACTGTCCAAATACAAGTTAAGAAAAAATAGTTTTATTGTTCATTGTTTGTTTTAAAAAAGAACTAGGTAATAAACTCATTGCCTAATCCCATATTTTTCATTGTAAAAAAATGTGTATGATTATACTTAAAAGGGGTGCCAAAGTTAAGTTAGTCCGTGGCGCC